CTCGCCTGTCTCTCACGTTCCCAGAGGGAATAACATGCTCACCCAAAAGCGAATATGGATCACCTTATATATATATACCTTTCTATCATGGATATCTATCCTGTTTACTTCTGCATTCTGTATTTATTTTTAGAATGCAGATACTATTTTTCTATGAAGTAGTTAAGGAGTTATCATTAATAGGAATATATAATTAATAGACTAAGGAGAGACTAAGCAGAACAATCTACATTTATAAATTAAATGAAATCTACATGATCTTAATAGATTTCCCTAGCCCTATTTTTATGGGTATTGTATTTACAGTGGTTTGGAGCTTATAATATTAATACAGTGTTTTCATTGGTTCTGAAGATTCTCAGAACTCAAGATATCTAGTAATTTTCAAATTGGCATTAATGCTAAGAGTGTTTCCAAATATATTTTACTCACTTACAAGAATGGATAGAAATAGCCTGCTAACTCTAGCATCCTTGTGGGTTTTAATTCCACTTTTGACATTTAAAATCTCAAAGGTCCTTTGATGAAGGTGCTGTATTCGGTTTCCCTGTGACTCTAGGGAGGGGTTTGCTGTGCATCCTCTGGCTCTAGGTCTGGCCCTGGCCAGAGAAAAGCCTGTGGTTCTGTATCAAAGTTTGTCCTGATGCCCATCTTCATACTTTCTGTCTGGACACACTGGTTGGTTTCCATTTCCAGTGATCCAGTTGCCTTGTGCCCAATCCCTAAGTTTTGTGTCCCTAAGAATGAGTTTGGGTTTTAATATGAGATTTCTCCCTACCCCCACACCAACAGAGGGAAATATTTTATTACTAATATTTTTCAGAGTTGCCTGTGAAAGATGATTTTATTTGAAAAAATTCATTATTCAGTTTTATCATCTTAAAATTATATCCTTATTGCCTGCCCTTTGAATCATTGATTCCACTGTGCCCTTCTTGGTACACTATTGCTGTTTGTGCATAAAAAGAATTAAGGAAGAAGAAGCTCGCTGGCTTCTGACAAAAAGAAAGCCCAGCTTTTAAGATGCAGCTTCTCAAAACTCAGCTGTGGTCAGAGACTTCTTCTCATCACTTGGCAGTATAATTATAGTTATTGATCATGTAACCTAGTTATTTATTTGTTTGTTTAATTCTTACCTGAAGACATTTTTTCAGTGCTCTTAGGGAGAGAGGAAGGGAGAGAAAGAAACACTGATGTGAGAGAGAAGCATCCCTTGATTGCCCTCTGTACGCGCCCAGACTGAGAACCAAGCATGCAAACTATATTTGTACCCTGACTGTGAATCAAACAGCAAACCTTTCGGTCCCTGGATGACGCTCTAATCTACAGAGCCACCCCGGCCAGGGCCACGTAGTTTTGAAATAGTTTCTGCTTTTTGTTTTTATGATTTCATCTTTGTCTAGAAAACAGCCTAGATTTGTGGAAATGCTGTAGGCTCTAGAATCAGACGAACTTAAGTTCAAATTCTAATTTATGATCTATATTATCTAGATTATTTACCCTTTCTAAAACTCTGCTTCTCTATCTGAAAATGAAGATAATGTAACAACTCTACATATTAGTCATGGGAGATTAAATGAGATCCTATTTATTCTTTTCTAATAAGCACTAGGGGTATCACATAATACATATTTGAATATGTCCAGATACAACTGTCTGAGACATAATGATGGCAGCTAAGATAGACATTTACCACTAAATACAGGTGCTGCTTTAGAATCTGGACCTTATAGGTAATAGAACTAGAGATAAGTAAAGTTAAGAAAGTGGTTAACGGTGAAAAGATGAGAACCTAAGGAGCGTATTTAAGATAGTACTGGGATACCATAGCTTTGGCTGAATGGAATGAGAAGAGCATGAAAAAGGAGTCATCTCTCTTCTTTTCTCTCCCTTATTTGTAACTAAAGGGCTTGCCAGAGGCAGAACAAAAATTAAGGCAAAACCCACATTAGGTTTCTTCAATGTCTAATACCATTATTATTATTATCTATATGTCATTGATTTAAAAAGTTCTTTATTTTATTCATTCTCTATACCCTATAAAACCTGAGAAGCAAAATATTATATAGTGTATTATTTATGTTGACTTTCAGTGAATATTTGCATTTCTAATTATAAGAGGATCAAAATTATAACCCATGCTTCCCTCAGTTTACCTAGCTCTTATTACTATGTATACACCTATGACACCTTGGCAGCCAAACATTGTAAGGGCTTTAGTTTTCTCGATGCTTGAAATATGTACAGTAAAATTTATAACTTCTTCCTAAACCTCCTGCTTTATAGAAGATTTTGATTATTTTTACTGGAACCTTTCTATTATAGCTTAATTTAGCTGACTTCTAACACTAGAATTATAATCCGCCACTGCATCATCTCCCTAGTAATAGTAACCATGGAAAAATAAGATGATCAAGAAAGGGGCAACCACACATTTTGAAATTGGAGTCTCTCAGCAAACTTTGAATATCCCATCTCTCCCTCTTCATCCTTGGCATTCAGCTTTACCTAGTTTCCTTTTGCATATCTAACATAAAACAAAATTGATTATTTTACAAAAATTCTGCACCTATTTTAAATCCAACAACACTATTTCATTTTATGAAATCAGCATATTTGTGGTCCTTAAAAAATTCTATTGCCTTTGAGAATTTTCTTTTCAAAAGTAATTGAAACTTTAGCAGATAGTTCATGGTAATAGCACTTTTTAAATTCTCTAGAAAATTACCTAGATTTATTATGATGATTAGAAATTTAAAATTATATAAAGGACCTATGGACAAAGCCAAAGGGGAGTAGGATTGAAGGTGGGGCAGGGGAAATGGTGGGAAAATAGAGACAACAGTACTTGAACAATAAAAATAAATGAATAAATCAACATTTTAAATTTTTCTAAAATACGAGATACAGGATATAAGATACAATATTTCTAGTTTACATTCCTCTTCATATGGTTCTCATTATATACTTTGTTTTATCCTATACTAAAATAATACTCTCCCCCCACCACACTCTTAATATTGTCTTTCCCTCTCTGGCTCTAGCACTTAGCCTAGTGTTTCCTAGTCTGGATCCCAAAACCCCCATAACCCTGAGTGAACTTCAAAGCTCTTCTACACAGCTGTCCAAGATACATATACATATTGGCATCAAAGTTATGTTAAACACATTTGTTCCAAAAATCATATTACTTTATAATTTATTGATAAAATTTCATAAGCAAGTTTTAGGAGAATTTGTGAAACAGAATTTTTTAAAAAAATAACTCTCTCTACATATATATTATGTATGTATGTATATATATACATATATATGAAAAATAGAAAGCATTATCTTGAGTATCAGGCAAACAGTAGTTCAATTTTGTAAGTTAAAACTTGCAGATAATTTTTTATCACTATATGGAACTGTCAATAATTTAATAACATATAGGAAAATTTGAATATTATACAGGATATTCCCACAGATTTTTTTTCTGGGAGGTATCCTAGCTTATCTCAGAAGGAAGAATATTTGATATCTATACAATCTAATTAAAATTATATTTTAAACCTTAAAATTATTTTGGTATCCCCAGAAAACATTACATTTCTTCTTTCTCAAAACCTAACTGATACTTATATTTAAGTCAGGAATTTCCATGTGTTCCCAAAGGAAAAAATATTTATCCATTTTTCACTCTCATTAAGGTGTATGAACTTAGGACCAAAATAATGTATGGCTGTTTTAGTTGGAGGAAGCTAAGAGAGCAAACGAATAGGTTAGAAGGAGGAGATTGGTGGTTGCAGAAATAGTGTCCTAGTTCCCCAGGCCAGGAGGGAGAAAGTGCTGGCAAATTCACGCTGATCTGCCAGCGTGATGTCTGGTTATGACAATGACAGACTCACTGTAGTGTGTCTCTGGTTCAGGATCAGACATTCGGCCACTTCTACCAAGTTAAAAATAATTTATAAGAACTCTTATTTTGTATAAAAAGGCAAATCCCTCATGTATACTTCTCACTGAATAATAACCTTTCAAAAGAGGCTCACTAAAATATTTAGCATTGGCTACATATTACATTATGATGGCTAGAGAACACTTTCTGTAAAGGAGATATACCTCAATGAAAACAATGTAAACAGGTTCTTTCTAAATATGCTTATGTGGAGATCATACTATAAAAGTAAATAGTTGTCTGAGTGGATTAGTAAAGAATAAAATAAAAATCTACAGTTCACTACTGTTCACTTATACTAAACATATTTTCTGTCCTTCATGTAATAGAGCCATGTGGCCTGACATTGTGCATTCCATGTGAAATTCTATGGAAAGTTACAGAGTTACTCATTAGGGAGATTGGAGCTGAATCATGCAAGATATTGCTATGATTTTAATAATGAATTAATACTGAGTTCATCACAGCAGACCAACCAGTGGTGATTAGTACTCATTTCCAAAGCTCTTCCACTATTTAGTTTGGAAATTTAAGAGTACTTCCACTAAAAGCCATTGGTCATTTGGACAACAGCTAGAATACTTACATGTGTTCTTTCAGAATTAGAGGGACCTCAGTTGACAATGCAATACAAAATACTGATTAACCATGATTTAACTGATAATGCAATATATATTTTGGCATAACTTACTACTTCTTTTTAACTATCAACATAATTCTTAGTTTATATTGGAACCTCACTCTCTAAGAAAGACATTCTGTGGTTAAAAGTTGCCTAGTGTACAGAAATTTAATTTTTTAATAATGAATGTAAAGGGTTAGCTTTACAGAATTTTTCCTTACTGAGCAATATGATGATTCACAGTTACCTACAGTAAATCAATACTGTAATATAACTCATAATGAAAATTTCCTAATAAAGCAGAAATACCTGTGTTCTGTATAAATTTCTAAATTAAAGAGATAGCAATCATTAAAAAAGAAAATTATATCCTTACAATTTAATTAAGGTCACAATTTGCTATTAAAAGGTATTAATATATAGGTAACTAAACCCCTTTACCTTATAAATATCCAAAAAGCCACACTGGTGATCAAATCTGGTGTACAGTTCATTCAGCATGCTGATCACCTGCATGGGGGTACACTGAGCACAGATGGCTGTGAAGCCCACAATGTCTGAGAAGAGCATGGTGACATCATCAAACTTTCTGGCCTGCACTTGCTGCCCTTGCCACAATTGCTGGGCTACATCACCAGGGAAAATAGAGTATAGGAGATCCACTGTCTTCTTTTTCTCTTCTTCCAGGGCCTGGTGAGTTCTTTCTAAAGTTGCTTTTAATTTATCCATCCTCTTCTTCAAACCATCTTGGGCCTTTGCCTGCTCACCAACCAAAATGACATCTCGGGTGGCATCATGGATGGGGATGTCTGAGAGATGCAGTCCCCGGCCCATAAGTTCATCCAACTTGTCCACACACGGAGAGCCCAAGAATAAAATGGAATTTGATTCTGGGACATGGATCATTTGTCCTTTGACTTCCATCACCTGCAAAATTAACATGGAATTTTGATCAGTGCTCTTCACATAAGAAATTCACAAAAATTTGCTATCTGATGAAGAGGAAGAACAAGAAATGTTTTATTAGCCATACTGACTTTCTGCATTCATACAAGCAAATTTATATATGATTTACAGCAAATGTAAAATTCACAGTTCTGAATAGAAGCTTTTGTTATTGTCTCCTACTTGGTCACCTTTTAAAGACAATGATGAAATGAAAAATGACATCAGTGAGAAATAAAATAGGAAAACATAGAATGCACTTAATACATTTATTTTTCTTTATTTTTCATAGCATAAAGTATTTAGGATATTAAGTGAAATGAGAAGCGAAGAAGAAATATGGGGTGAAACTATAGAGATTTAGATTTCACAGTCTGCAACTACATTTTATTTTGTTCCCCCTGCACAAGTCACCAATATCTAATCTAAATAAGAAAATAAAATTGAATTCTTGCTTGGTATTATAATTTTTATAAATTAAATGTTCACTTTATCTTATGTAAAGTTTTTTCTAGTGTTTGCTATTTCATCTCTTTATACATAATACCCTTGTTTATTCATTGAAGTGATGGTTTTCTATTTACTAGTACAGTGTTGGATGATAAGAATAAAAAGATAAAATAAAGTTCTCTTTTCAAAGATATCAAAGTATCTTTGTTACTGTGGGGAGTAAGCCAAATCTATGTACCACAGAACATTGTGAAAAGGACATTTTCAATTCAATATGAATTCTCAAAAGGCTGCACACTATTGTTTGAATATAAAGAAAATAATTGTTCTGAAAGTATTACCAGATTATTTCATATGTGCTTAATTTCCTTTTTGGAGAAGGGGTGCTGTTAATGACATATACTTTCTTATTATTGGAATGTGAAAGGCATAATAAGCATCATACACACAATGTACAACTTCATAGTAAAATATTAGTATATTAATTTTTTTTCTTAACATTTAAGGTAAAAGCAGGTCTCTAACGTTCAAAGGTTTAGACTCTTATCTGAGGTCTGACTCCCTCTCCTTCCTCATATTTCCTTCTACTTGCTTTCTTTTTCTTCTCCATCTGCTTTCTCCTTCCTTATCTCCTTTGTTGTTTGGACTTACACTTATTTCCAATAACCACTCTTCGTTTACTCTCTCTGATCACTGGTTTTCCTTATTTTATTCATTAGTTCTTCCTTTTTCTTTTTATTTCTCTTTTCTTCTTATGAATGAACATCCACATTTCCCATTAAATGGAACTTTTGCTTTTTTGCCTTTGCCACTATATTATTTAAAATGTGGAATTGGATTCTGCTCTGGCCCTGTGGTGCTTAAGCCTGATTGCTAAGTACAGAGTGGCAGCCACAGATAGTAGATCATTGGCTAAAGGGGGTGCAGAATGGACTAGAGAAACTTGAGGAGACTAGAGATGGAGGCTTTGAGGAGAGGACAGAGAGAAGAGCCGCCAGAATCCCAGTGCTGAGGCATCCCCCATACGGCAGCAGCCATCAGCCATCTTGCTCAGGCAGACCACTCCCCAGAGCAGTGTGGCAGGGAACAACAGTCCCACCCCCAAGAGGGACTCTGTCCCACCCTGTGGTGCTTAAGCCTGACTGTTGAGTACAGACTGACTAGATTACCAATTGAACAAGATAGCCACAGTCAGTGGATTCCTAGAAGTCTCCAACACACTGCCTAAAGTCAGACAAGGTCAACATCTGATATCATTAGAGGTGGATCCAGAAAGAAAAAACAGTGGTAAATACTAGAGGCTACCAAGATGGAAATCCACTGTGGTCTTTCCCATGATTTGCAATATTTTCTTTACTACATAGCTTTTTAACATTCAATTCAGGTCCATCAACTCTGTGCATATTAGATCATTAGATTTTATACTAACAGTTTATTTCTCTCTTCTCTTATAACAGTCTTAACTCTTTACAGCCTTTTTAATACTAGTTCATTTGCTATTGATAGTGGGATTGGAGGGGGGAGTTATTTTTGGAGATATGGGTTTGTTTCCTGGGTTTTGTGTTTTTGTTCTGCCACCACCTGTACCAAAACACACAAAATGTGGTAAGCAGAGTGACGCTCATTCAACTGCCTGGAGGGTAGGACCCATCAAAGAATGACCAACAACAATCAAAATCCAATTCCTTCCAGAGAGCCAACATAAACAGCATAAAAGGCATCCAAAGAGCAGTAAGTTCAGGAGATCAAGAAGACTGCACCACTGAATCTCACAGGTCTCCTACCATGGAAGTTCACACCACAAAGTCAGGAAGACAAGACAGATCAATTTAAGAAGCAGAAGCAAAAAAGAAGAGTCTCACAAAAAAAAATGGAAGACAAAGAAACACCTCCCAATAAAATGGAAAAGAGGAATCCCCAGAAAGAGAAAAAAATTAAATAGAGGAAAGGATGCTATCAGATATTGACTTCAAACCAGTTGTTCTAAGGGAACTCAGTAAGCTCACTGAGCTCAGAGAGAATTAGCAAAAATTGCAAGGAAACTACGAGGAAATTACTGCAAACTATATCACCATGAAAAAGGACATAGAAACCATCAAGAGGCAAGAGTAAATGAAGAATACAATTTCTGAATTGAAGAACACAGCGGAAGGAATCAAAAGCAGGCTAGATGAAACAGAGGAGAGAATCAGTAGGATGGGGTACAAGGTTGGAAAAAGCTCCCAGAAAGTGCAAGAAAATGAAAGAAGACTCAAAAAGAATAAAGAGTTGTTTAAGGAAATGAAGGACAACCTGAAACCTAATACTATCCAAATAATAGAGATTCCAGAAGGAGAAGAAGAGGGGCAAGGGAGAGAGAATCTGTTTGAAAAAGTAATGATGGAAAACTTCCCTCATTTGAGAAGAGAAAAAGTTACACAAGTCCAGAAAGCACAGAAGGTTTCATTCAAGAGGAACCCAAAGAGGACTACTCCAAGACACATCATAATTAAAATGGCAAATATTAAAGACAAAGAGAGAATCTTAAAGGCAGCAAGGGAGAAACAGGTAGTAACATACAAGGGAGCCCAGATACAACTAGTTACTGACTTCTCAACAGAAATACTACAAGCTAGAAGGAATGCCATGAAATATTCCAAGTAATGAAAAGCAAAGGCCTGCAAACAAGACTACTCTACCCAGCAAGGCTCTCATTTAAAATGGAAGACGAAATAAGGAGTTTCCCAGACAAAAGAAGGCTAAAATAATACACATCCACCAAACCAGCACTGCAAAATATGCTAAAGGGACTGATTTAAGAAGATGAAGAGAAAGAGTGAGAAAGAGAGGAACACAGGTACAAAGGGAAAAAAATGAATAAGTGGCTACCAATAATAACTTTAAATGTAAATGGATTAAATGCTCCAATTAAAAGACATAGGGTAACTGAATGGATTAGAAAACATGACCCCCGCATATGCTACCTACTACAGAACCACCTCAGAACAAGGGACCTACACAGACTGAAAGTAAATGGATGGAGAAAATTATCCAAGCAAATGAACAGGGAAAAAAGCTGGGGTAGCAATCCTTGTAACAGACAAAACAGATTTCAAAACAAAGGCCATAAAAAGAGACACAAAGGACACTTCATAATATTGAAAGGATGAATCCTTCAAGAAGACATAAACATTGTAAACCTATATGCACCCAACATAGGAACACTCAAATACCTAGGGAAAATCTTGGAGGACTTTAAGAAATATGTAGACAGCAACACACTGATAATAGGGGATTTTAACACCACAGTGTCAAAAATGGATATATCGTCCAAACAAAGCATCAACAAGGATATCGTGGAACTGAATGACGCATTAGATCAAATGAACCTAACTGATATGTTATATAGAAACTTTCATCACAAAGAAGCAAAATATACATTCTTTTCAAATGCACATGGAACTTTTTTTTAAAAAAAGACCACATTATAGGGCACAATTCAAGCCTCAACAAATTGAAGAAAATTGAAATCATAACAAGCATTTTCCTGGACCACAAGGGCTTGAAACTAGAAACCAACCTCAAAGAAAAAACTCAAAAATATTCAAACTTATGGAGACTAAATAGCATGCTATTAAAAAAATAAAAAAGTCAATAATGAGATAAAGGAGGGATAAAAAGTTTCTGGAAACAGACGAAAACGAACACGCAACAGTCCAAAACCTATGGGACACAGTGAAGGCAGTCCTGAGAGAGAAGTTCATAGCAATACAGGTCTACCTAAAAAAACCAGAAACATTTCAAATAAACAGCCTAACCCTACATCTTCAAGAACAGGAGAACAAACAACAAAGAACAGAGTGTATAGAAAGAAGGAAATAATCAAGATAAGAGCAGAACTGAATGACATATAGACTAAAGAACAATTCAAAGGATCAATAAATCGAGGAAGTGATACTTTGAAAAGATAAACAAAATCGACAGGCGTTTAAGCAGACTCTTCAAGAAAAAAAGGGAGAGGACCCAAATGAAAAATATCAGAAATGGAAGAGGAGAAATTACAACTGATGCCACAAAAATAAAAAGGATTTTAAGAAATCACTATGAACAATTACATGCCAAGAAATTTCAACACCTGGGTGCAATGGACAAATTTCTAGGAAAATACTGAATGAAGAAGAAGCTGAAAGCTGACAGACTGATATCAGCTGGTGAAATTGAAGCAGTAATCAAAAAACTCCCGGCACAGAAAAGCCCTGGACCATACAGTTTAATAGGAGAATACCACAAAACATTTAAGAAAGAGCTAACCCCTGTCCTTCTCAGACTATTCCAAAAAATCCAGGGAGAAGGAAGACTCCCCAACTCTTTTTATGAGGGCAGCATCATCCTAATCTCAAAACCAGATAAAGACACAAAAAAGAAAGAAAACTTCAGGCCAATATCGCTGATGAACATAGATGTAAAAATCCTCAACAAAATATTGACAAACTGCATCCAGCAATACATTAAAAAGATCATCCACCATGATCAAATAGTATTCGCCCCAGGGA